TGAGAATGCAATAAATAAGCAAATAAGAACTATATCTGACAGTGCTAAGTGGTATGCAGAGAATTCAAGTCTGGTGATATTATTGTAACTGCTGGTCATTTTAACTTGGGTCATCAGGGACCTTCTCAGAAGGAGTGAATTTAAGCAATATGTGAACAGTAAAAAGACTAAACAATCAAGTATGAAAGCATTCCAGTTGGAGGGCACAGCTAGTACAAAAGCCAATAAGGCAGGAACAAGCAAGGAACGTTTAACAATGAGAAAGAATCACACTATGTCTGGAGGGTAGTGACCTCAAGAAAGAGTGGTGGGTGTTCAGATAGGAGAGGTAGGAAGGGGTCAGATGATCTGACTTTGTAAGCCAGGATAGTATATTTGGATTTCTTTTTCAGTGAGATGAAAAACCACTGAAGGAAGCTACATGAAATCTGGAGATATAATCACTAAGAATTAGAGACCAAACTGGAAAAAACATATATTCATGAAGTATTTGTTAGGTTCTGCACTCTTCACTCAATAAAATTTATCCGAAGACACTAAAACAGAATCCTAGAGCTAGAATCTTAAGGGATATAAAGTTATTCATTGTACAAGCACAGAAACTGAAGGCTTAAGAAAAAAGCATCATTCAGATTGCTTCATTAATGGCTGAGCAAAATGTCTCCAAAAATAAGTAAGAGCAACTAAGATGGTATGGAATATAACCTAAACTCAAAGCTGACATTCATCGGAAAATTGTCCTTTTATGAATTCATAAACTGAACCACCATGAATTAGATGCATATGACCCATTATACAATTTCTTAACTTTTTGTGACAGCCTCTGACCTTGATCTAAAACTGGAAACTTACATGAGATACATGCCCAGTAATGTTTTTAATCAATTTCATTGCTCCAATCCCAACTCACTGGGTACAATACAACTTGGAGATTCATTCATCCAGTGAATGGTAAGGAACTTATACTGGAAAATGAAGAACATGAGTCTAGTAGAAGCTGTAAAATGTATATACAGAAAGAAAGACACATAGACACAAACACTGATACAATACATACACACACACAATGCAGAGTAAAAACTGCCAACATGCCTCACTGTGAAAGTTAGAGGACATGCCACTTTCAGCTGAAAGGATCAGAAAGCAGCGTGCAAGCTGGTCCTTGAATGATGGGTGGGATTTACAGATAGGGAGAACATTTTAGACAAAAAGCACAGCAGGGCCAAACGACCTAGGTAAACTGTAACCAGAAATTACAGAGTGTTAATCAAATTTAGAGAAACTATTTCCCATATGAAAATACTCAAAACTGAGCTACACCTGAAGTTATGTATTTCAACTCAGTAATGTAAGAGTTTTGCATCCATTATTTACCAACTTAATTAACAAGAAAAGAAGTTTTATAGTACAAACATCCTTAAGCCCAGCTCAGACTATTAGATTTGTTTTCTGAAAAGAATGAAATAGGATTTCAAAGACCTTGGAAAACTTGCTTTTCAGGAAACAATGAACTGGAAAATCACTTAAGCTGCTTGGTGCAAAAATAACAAAGGTGCACATTAAAAAAAAAGATGTCATGAAAAGTGTTTTAAAATCAGCATCCAAAGCCTCAGAACACAGCGTAGATGAGAAAGTGCCATCAACATCACAGTATAAAGTAAATCATAGTGCTATTTTTTTGAAAAACTATTTTACTGGGTTTTTTATAATATACTGCATGACTGCTCCTATCTATTTTCTGCCCTTTGAGAAAAGTGTTGTTTTAGAATATTAATTCACTTGAAAACTGACAATAATGTAATTTGGGGTTTTGCTTAATCTGTTACAAGTTCATTCTATTTCCAGCAAGTCATAGAACTATTTTCAACTCAAGGGCAGAGCATAAAAATCTGTCATCAAAGCTAACTAGTGTGTGCAGTTCCTAATGTTTGTTCTTTCCTGGTCTTTCTTAAATTCATTTTTCATTACAAGACTGGGTTGTCTATATGAAGTTTTCTCTGTGTGGTCTCTCAATAATGTGAAATTCTTTGAACTTTAGCCCTAAATGGCACAGGCTCAATGTAATGAAGGTCAAGCCAATCCAGATGGTGAGAGGAGGGAATAGAACAATGAAACTGAGGCACGCCACAAGAAGAACCTTAGAGGCATTTTTACTTGGAAAACAATACACGATACAAGAGCTGCAAAGTTATTGCTGTTTATTAAAGTCCTTTTCTTTTACTGTCTTAAATTCCACGATTTACAGTTCTCTGAATCTGACCTCCACACCACATCACTGTATCTTCATTTGGGAGGCCCACCCTTTGCATCCCCAACTCAGAGCCATGGAACTCTCCTCCTCCTCCTCCCAGACTCAGCTCAAGAGCAGCTCCCATCGCCTTGCCCTGCTCCACTCCGCATTACAGGAAGTCGTGCCCATGTTATAAACCCCTTCTTACACCTGAGTTTTACAAACTTGCATACCTGTCCCATCAGTGCACCTACCACAGTGCCCCTGTGCTTAGGAGGCATTCTAGAAATTTAAAAAACAAATCCAGTTAAACACATTTACCAAAAACATGATCAAATGAGGTTAGACATACTGTCAGAGCTACTGAGAAAAACATGTCAGGTAGATATCCAAACAAATCCAGAACATTTTTACCACAATCTTACGAGTGCAGAGCTGGGCCTGTGTCACAGAAACCCTGGCTCCTGGCTGCCTCACAGGGATGGTGTCCTCAAGACTCACTGAGGAAAGAGACCTGTGTCACCCATAGATACCTAAAAGCAGCTCTAGACTCAGTGAACACTCACCTACAGCATCGCAGAGAGAGCAAGTACCACAGGGCTTAGGAACAGCAGAATCAGTCCCATCAGAACCCACTCAGATCCCCCTGTAAGGACAAGTACCACCATGGGTGGTGCAATGTCTCCCTTTCCCTCTAGCTTCTCACAGAAACAGCAGAGGGAGAGTTACTCTCTGTGCGCCTCTCCTTTTACCTTCCTTTATGACTGAAATGTGCAGAAAAACACACTGAAAACAGAAGTCCAGCATAACTGGGGAAAACAGTCTCAGGCTCCCTCTCTCATGTATCCAAAGAGGTTCAGCCCAGATGGCTTGTCCTTCTTCATATTCTGTCTTATAAGCCCAAATGAGAAATGCGGCCATAGAAATTAACAAAGGTATTTGTGAGACGTGGTAGGTTTAAAGTCGCTGGGAGAAGATCTCTTTTCTTCCTTAAAGCCTACACTTTTCCAGTAGGTATTTTGCTTCTTCCCTGTTGTGTATAAAGCACTACATGGCATTCATGGGCACATGCTCACATATACATACACAGATGATTATTTACCCTATTCTAAGAAAATGTGGTATATAAATGTGTGTTCTGACACCGAAAATTGAATTGTGTATCAAATGTGAAACATTCACACTTTTCAAAATCCTACAACGAATTTTTTTGGGAGAAAAAATCAAACCCACTTACCAATAAATATTGGTTTCCCTTACCTCATATATTCAAACTTCTTAAAATTATAGGCCTTTGGGACTAGAAGGTATCTTAGAGATAAATTTATTTAAAGCAAAGAAGACAGTATTGTAACAAGCAGCCGCTCTAAAAGATGAAAAGCCAGAAAGCCATTGTGTCTGGGATGACTGAATTCCAAGGGCTGAGCCGCGCCTATTGAAATGTTTAAGATGATTCTAGAGTGAGAAATCCCATCTGCCTCCCAGGGATACCATGCCAATACTATGAAACATACGCATATAGGACCATGAATTCTGGTTAATCAAGATGTCTAAGGTTTAGTATTTAAAAGCACACGTATCTAACAAAATGAGTACATTACCTCAAGTGACCTAAAATTGTTTTAGTGCAGTTAACAACACACAGGAAAATGTATTTCCAGACCTGGACTCCCAGAGTATGTAAATCACAGTAGGCAGAATACATTACATATACATATGCATAGATATTCAGGACTATTATGATTTCCCAAAGTACTGTGAAATTAAAAATTAAAAAAAGACCCATCAATTTGAGTCACAACACTATTTCTAGACTTCAAGAAGGATTGGTAACCCTTCCTGCAAAATAAACTTTGGGTTTCTAAATGGTCTCTGGAGTGTTACTGTTGATGTGGGTTTTTCTTTGTGGTTACATTTTAACGATTCAGTTGACTGGCAGCCAGTTTATTAAGATCCTGTTTTAATTACCTTCTGCACTTAGGACTGTGGCTATGCGACACGCCGGGCTCACTTCACCGCATGTGGAGCTTTAGCTAAAATTCTGGACATGAATAGTCACCAGAGCCGAGTTATGCAGGCAGGGAGGGAGGGGCGAGTGAGAAGCGTAGAGATCAGTTAAAACCGTGATCAATTCCAGACTTCCGTCCCTCCCTGCGTCCCCGGACAGCCCGTTTCGTGGCCTGACACGTCATCCCCACCCTTAACAGCGCTCTGGGGAGACCCTCTCCCCGAGTCAGAGCAGCGCCGCCCCCCGCGAGACCCGGGGGCCCGGATCGCGGCCCCGGAGGCCGCCGCCGCTCGGCTCCCGGGGGCTTCTGCGCTGGGCACCGGGCAGCAGCCCCGGGGGCGCCCGAGTGGGGGGAACGCGGCCCATCCGTCCGGCTGAGCTGCGGGCGCTCGGCCCCGGCGGACGGTGCGAGAAGGACCCGGCTCACTCGGGGAGCCCTCGGACTTGGCACACACGCGAGGGCGTCCGCGTGAGCTCCGCGGCTCCCGACGCCCGCGCTCCCCCGGCGCCGGCGGGCGGGGACCCGGCAGGGCGCCCGGGAGGCTCCGGCTGTCCCGCGGCGAGCGCGCGGCGCGACCCCACCTCCGGGGTCCGCGGGGCCGGGAAGCCATACCCGACCGCCGGCCACCCGAGGCGCCGCATGCCCGGCGCGTCTGCGCGCCCCCGAGCGCGCTCCCGCCTGCTGCGGTGCCGGGCGAGTTACACTAACTTTCCGGGGCGGGGGAGGGGCGAGCGCTGCGGGCCCCGCCGCAGCGGCCTTACCTGCGCTCAAGTTGTCGTTGATCTTCAAGGGCACCCGCAGAATGTAGACCAGGAAGAGCACGACGAAGAACCACACGGTCCAGAGGTAAGTCCAGGACCACACGATGCAGGACTTGAGCTGCTCCAGAAAGCCCGTGCCCGCTTCAGCCATTTTCCGCGCTGCTCTCTGCTGCCGCGGCGCTCGGTGTCTGCCGGGATGATTCACCGGCCCCGAGGCGCCGCCGCGGCCCGGGCGCCCGCGGAGCCCGCCGCCCGCCGGACACGGGCGCGGCGGGAAGTGGCGGGGCCGCGGGCGCGCTGCCTACCCTCGCCCCGCTGCTCTGCTAACTCGGGAGGCACCTACCGTGGCTCCCGGCGGGGTCACGTGGCGCTGCTCCCTTGCCTTCTACTGCCATTTATATTTATTACGCTGATGCCGCGGCTGACCGGCCACGCGGCGCGCTGAGGGACACCTTTGCCATTGTACCGATAACTCACATAAGTGCGGGTTTACTGACATGCCGGACACTGTGGCAAGGTCTGTATAATCTCAATTACTTCAACATTCCCCATTATACAGCTAGGAAAACTGAGGCCCGAAGTGATTGATTGCATAGTTCACTTGCAGCTCCAGCCAAAATTCGGTTGCAGTATGGTGGGTGCCAGGCCCCAAAGTCTTAAACCGCACACTTGACTCCTTCCTCTCAGAATTCAAACTCAGGGATAAAGAAACCAAGGGAAACGAGAAAAAGATAGATGTGCCCCTGTCGCTGGTTGGTAGTCCTGAAAATAAATCACCGTATTAAGGAAGATTTGGGTTGCACACCGTTTACCTTCGTTTTGTCTATTTTGAAGCAGCACAGGGGTTTCCAAAGAAATCTTGACAAGAAGAATATTTATCCTCCAATTTTGTGGGGGGGCGATGACAGTTTAAACAACTCTCAGCCTTTTCCTAATATAAACAATTCTCTAGGATAATTTTGGCTTGTTCTGAAACGGCTACTTTAAACCAGAAGTATATACGTTTTTGTGTGTGCTGAATAAAATGTTGCCTTTACCCAATGAAATTTGAAAGTCTGTTTCTGCCCGTAAGTAATTCACTTTCTATGTATTGGACGGTAGTGAAGCAACTGAGGTCATCCAATCCACAGCTGAGGCATTTCTGCATTTAGCAGAATATTTGATTATAAATTTTGACTTGCTTCCTTGTAGTTTCCTCCATAATAAAACAAAGCTTGCTACAAGGAAATAGCAAGGAAATAGCAACAACCCAAGTAGGACATCCTTATGGCATAAATAACAGAACTACTCTTACTATTTATTCACTAATTCCAACCTCCCTCTCAGCTGCTGGGTTCTCCATACATTACAGCAGAGACACACAAAGCAAGATAAAAGAAATTGACACACACACTTTTTACAGCGATTTATCACAGCACACTACCAAACAGTTTTTGTATCTAACAATGATGCCTGGATTCTCAGAAGAATAAAACAACATGAATATGTGGATCATCTATTATATGTACTGATTAAGTAACCCACCAGATTCTCTGCATTAGGATTACCTACATCATTTCAATGAACATCCTGGGGCCTGGCTTTTTGCTGTCAGTGAACCTCAAAGAACAGACATAAATATGACTCAGTTGAGTCATAATTTTCTGATTGTCAACTAGGCACTCCTAGAGGATCATCCCTGTCTTTATCTTCATTGCCTGTCCCTGGTGTGCAGCCAGGCGTGGGGGATGGGCGGCAGGGCAGGGTGGGGGCTGGAGTCATGTCTGTGTGCTTGGATGCAAAAGTGAGAGAGCATCTCTTGGGCTGCTTCAGTATGGCTGAACTGCAGGTTCTATGTGGAGTGGTGTTGAGAGAGAGAGAAAGCTAAAGTGGATCTTATTTAGAAGCGCCTTGTAGAAACACAGAGATGTTCAGTTCTTCGTGATTGCTCACACTAATCCAAATGACAAATCCAGAAATTGATGTAAGGGGGGATTAAAGAAATATTAGGGCGGTAGAACTGATAAGCCTTGGTGACTGAGAAGAATGGCAGTGTGAAGATAAAGGGTAAAGGGTGGCTCTTGAGTGGGAGGGACCATTCATGAAATAGCAACAACCCAGGTATGTCTGGCTAACTTTTGACCATTTACCAATGGAATGGCCCACAGGTACCCCAAGCTCATCACAGCCAAAAATGAACTCATTACTTCCTCACCTTCAACTGCCCCTCCTTCTGCAGTTACAAGGGAATGAGCCCCACCCTTCCAGCTCCCTAATTCAGAAATCTGAGGATCATCCCAACCAGATTCTTCCCTCACTCACCTCCTTTCCTGTCTCTACATTCAACTGGGTATCAAAACTTTTAAGGTGTGTCCCAGATCTGTCACTTTTCTCTGTTCCCCTGTAACAGACAGCCTTTAGTCTCTTATCACCTGGTCATCGCTCAGAGAACAAGGGTGTGGGCTCCCTGTCCCCAGCTTCCCCACAACTGATTCTACCACCCCACCCCAACCATGCCTCATCCCCCCTCATTCCACCTTCTTCCACCCTTCTCTGCCAGTTACCTTTAAAAGCACAAATCTGGTAACTCACTTCCTGCTAACAATTATTTAAGTACCTATTGCCTCCACTCCTCCTCCACCCCTACACCTACCTAAAGGATAAAATCTAGATGGTACTGAAGGTCATTTGTAGGGCACTCCTGCCAACCTATGCAGACTCATCTCCTACCCTAGGCACTCGCATACCCCACCAGCACTCTGGCAGACATGCTACTCTCTTTCACACCTTTGGACCTGCCCGAAGTATATACTTCTCTGTGCTATACTTCCCACTCAACCTTCTCTCCTGGGCACAACTGCCTGATCACAGCTTATTCAGAGATGTCCTTGAAATATCAACCTCTTTTGTGACACCAACTCCTTCTCAAACCTTAGAGTTCACTGTCTCTTTCCTGAGACGCAGCACCTGGAAGCTTACGGTAGGCTGTTAAATGGAGCCAGACAGTGATGGGCTCTAGTCCTGATTCTGCTATTCACTACCTGCTCTTAAGGATTACTGAATTTCAGGACATTTCTAGATATCTCTTTACTAAAAATTATCTTATTTCAAAAATACCCAGTGCTAGTGATAGTCAGCTTATGTAATATCATTCTAAGACAAGTACAAAAATGATATGCTCTCAATTTACTTGCTACATGCATAGCATATTATTTTGTGGTTTTGGCTTCAAATTTCAAGTTCATGCACACAAATCTCCAGAGCATCTGAAAAATTTAGACAAATCAATTAAAGACTCTGTTGCATTGAAAAAAATTCAGAAATTGGGTTACACTGATGTTATAGAATTATTGGTAGAATTAAGAAAAATCTGATAGTCACATGAGCTTAAATTTATTTTTATTGACACTGAGAATTTATTCTTAAATTTCTGAAAACTGATTCCATCCTTTAGCCAAGATGAATTCCTTTATATTACAGTTCATTTCAGTTAATATTTCATTTTGTTCACATTTCTACTGTGCAAGACTATAGTTAGGCATTCAAATTAGAGTGGAAATTTCACGATCATTTGGTATATTTGGCCTATGTAGAAACCAAATCTAAAAAATGGAAAGAAAGAAAAATCAGATATTTTTATCTTAAAGTGTATTTCAGGCTAGTATTAAGTAATGTGTTTGCTCACTCCAGCCAAATTAATTGTATTTCTAATATTCTATCCTCTTCTAATATTCTATCCTCTCTTCTTTACTTTGTCTTGCAAATATTATTCCAGGTTTCCCTTATTCTGTATTTCAATGCTACTGTACATCTGCTAAATTTAGCACCTTATGCACATTTAACTATAATGGGTTTTATCTACTTGTTAATAATGACAGTGAATATGGATTATAATTGAAGCTGTGACTTTCCTTGAGTTTTTCCTCCCCCTCAAAATTACCTTTATAATACTATTTTTACAGTATCAATTTTTTCTCTTTGATCAGTTTGTCATTCAACCTGTGAGCTGAAAATGTCCACATGTTCAATCAAGCTAATCTGAATTAACTTGTCAAGTTTTATTGGACCAACTATAGCAAATAATGCTATAGACTAGATTTAATTAATTCTTTGTACTTCTATATCTTATATGCATTGCATATTACAATTTTTTCCAAAAGAGGCACTTATCTTGGGCTCCTATGTTTATACAGTTATCAAGTATTCTTTATAGATTTTTTTCATTGGTTCATGTTTTATTAGATCCCCTCCTGAGCCTAGCAGAGGCCTTGTAAGCTGAACTGAATTGAAATCATTATGTTGAGTTGAAGAATGAGAGAGTAAGTTTCATTTTTTAACCTCTCAAACAATTTGATTTTTTAAACTTACAAAAGTGAAATCCTTTGTGATTTCAATGTAAGAAAAGGACCAATGCCTGTAAATGACAGGGAAAAATACTTCAGTTTGAGGAGGAAACCTCTAACAGACCCCATTAGCTAGCTTCCCATAAATGAGAGTATTCTGAGTTATGGCTGAACACCAGCCTCATCTGTAAACAGGGAGCAATAATAGCCAATGTTTATCATAGGAAGGGATCTTTGCAAAAGGTGAGGATTTTCCCAGTTTTAAAATTGAAAGTCCCAAATCTGGGAACCCCCTAAGTTACAGTCAGGCTAAATGACCCCTGAATTTCAACTCGAAAAATTCTATGATGCAGGGCCTTCCCCAGGTGAAACTGGGGGGTAGGAGGATGTATGTTTTCATCACCTCCTAGTGGGCATTCCCTCTTCCTCAGCTGCCTTGGGCCTGCACTTCCTTGGCTACTCTTAAAATCTGCTCAGGCAACTATCAACTTATTTTGGCATTACCAAAATTTATGTCAGCTCAAGAAGTGACTCTTCTAAGTGTCACTAAAAGATACCAGAAATCAAAGCCATACAATAAAATAATGCTTCTCAAATGCTGCCAGGCATCATCATATCTTGGGAGTCAGGGGACCCGTACTGAAATCACATCGTACAAGGTAAGAATAAATATATGAGTACATTAAACATCTGCAGTTTAAAAAAATCACAGCTAAGAGTATGTATCCATGAAAAAGAAAACAAATAAGCAGACAAGCTTAAAAAAATCTGTAACTTACTGTTTCTTTTGTTACTAATTTAGTACTTATTCATCTGTATTGTTTTTTACTAGGACTCTAGAAAACAGATAATAGCAATAGACAAAGGTTTAATACAAATGTACAGAAAAGAAACCTGAGAAAATTTTTCTTTTCTACAAATTAAGCTTGCCATTTTAGTCTAGTTCACAAAACACTGACTTCCAAGAAATTGTAGATGGAGAAAACTGAGGTAAGCAAATGAAACTCTATATTCAGATATTAACCAGCTGTGGTGGGATTTGAACCATGATATATATAGTAGAAGCAACATGCAATTTAGTAAATGAATATGTAAGTTAGAGAAATGGTCTCCAAACTTTGGCTGGCAATAAATTTAAAAAATTTACCCTCCCAAAGTATGTATATCTATGTATTTGTAAGTTAATAT